TGGGTCCCCCCCCCCAAACGGGAACCCCCCAAATCCCCGAGCCCAAACCCAAAAACGGCTCCGGGCCCTCCCCCCACACCTTGGGACCCCCAAAAACCCCACAGGGACCCCAAACAGGGCGAGTTGGGGCCGGGGGCTCTTTGGGGTGGGGGCTCAGGGATTTGGGGACGCTTTTGGGAATTTTGGGGTCCCCCCCAATTTTGGGGTCCCCCCAAACCCCAAATTTCCCCTAAAAAGGAGCCAAGCCCCAAAGACCCCCCCGAGCAAAGGGAACCCCAAAACAGGAGGCAAACCCCAAACAAGGGGATTTGAGATCTGGGGGTGTTTGAAGGGATTTTGGGGTGGGGGCTCAGGGATTTGGGGACGGTTTTGGGAATTTTGGGGTCACCCCCTAATTTTGGGGTCGCCTCAAACCCCAAATTTGTCCCCCAAAAGGAACCAAACCCCAAAAAGGTCTCCTGACACCTGGGGATGTTTTAGGGTTTTTGGGCTTACGGGATTTTGGGGTTTCATTAACGGGTTTTTAATGCCTGGGGTTGTTTGGGGGTGATTTTGGGGTCTCTCTCTCCTATTTTGGGGTCCCCTAAACCCCAAATTTGTGCCCCAAAAGGAGCCGAACCCCGAGGACCCCCTGAACAAGGGGAACCCCCAAAATCTGAGCCAATCATGGATTTTGGGGACATTACGGGGGTTGGGGGGGCTCCTGGTGCCTGGGGTTGTTTGGGGGTGACTTTGGGGTCTCTCCCCCCTATTTTGGGGTCCCCTCAAACCCCAAATTTGTGCCCTAAAAGGAGCCGAACCCCGAGGACCCCCTGAACAAAGGGAACCCCAAATTTTTCGCAAAACCCCAAACCCTGGGATTTTGGGGTCGTTCCTGGGTTTTGTGGGGCTCCCATTGCCTGGGGTTGTTTGGGGGGATTTTGGGGTCTCTCCCCCCTTATTTTGGGGTCCCCTAAACCCCAAATTTGTCCCCCGAAAGGAGCCAAACCCCGAGGACCCCCTGAACAAAGGGAACCCCAAATTTTCCCCAAATCCTGGGATTTTGGGGACATTACAGGGTTTTGGGGGGCTCCCATTGCCTGGGGTTGTTTGGGGTGATTTTAGGGTCTCTCCCCCCTATTTTGGGGTCCCCTAAACCCCAAATTT